ACAAACACTGACTGAGCCACTACAGTGCCACATGCATAAGAAAAACTTTACCTGGCACATCGTGTCCAATGCACCATCATCTGTGTTTATAAAATTGTGAATCTTCTCGTGCAAAATTGTTTACAATAAAAAGAACAGAATGGTACCCTTTCATTGGTAAATTATATCAGATTGGTTCTTTCTTTTGCTTTTTTTAAAGCGGGCTCTAAAATTATTTACGGTGGAATTCATCATTTCTCAGGTGAGGAGAAAAAATGTCTAATTTAATGGCATGCTTTTATAGTAACTAAAATAAGTTAACAATAGTTACACAAATAATCATAGTAACAAAAAGTAACAATAAATAGTTATAGTAACAAAAATAAATCAAAAAGTATACATTTTCAACCTCTGGAAGAGTAATAAAATGGGTGAAAACAGATGAATCATCATTTATTTTTCTGTAAAAAGAATAATGGCTAACATATTTTACCATGATTTACAGAAGAAACACTCAATAATCATTCATTCTAATATAACTTTTTATATCAAAGGTGAATTTAAATGAGAATGTTTTTTGTGAAATTAGAAGGGTCACAGTTCTGTCCCATTATTTGAAATTTGTTTAATTTGTCAGGAACAACATGTTGCATTGCTCATATATTTATATATTTTACATGAATAGATCAGTTTCACCGACAAATGTTCTGGACTAGGGTGTGGTGTGTGTGTGTGGCATCTTTCTTTGTCAAGAGTTTGGTGCTGTCAATCATTTTTACCTTAAACTGTCTTGTGGTTTTTACAGTTCTTCATGGCGTTTTATTGCATGGTGCATTAAAGTCATGTCGAATAAGGCCTATTTATCTGTGAAGAACGGGCAGAGGGATAAGGACCTTAGTCAGGGAGGTGATCAATAACCCGATGGTCACTCTGTCTTGAGCTCCAGCGTTCTTCTGTGGAGAGAGGAGAACCTTACAGAAGGACAACCATCTGTGCAGCAATCCACCAATGAGGTCTGTATGGCAGAGTGGCCAGATGGAAGACACTTCCCGCCTGAAATTTGCCAAAAGGCATCTGAAGGACTCACAGACCATAAGAAACAAAATTTTCTGGTCTGATGAGACTAAAATTGAACTCTTTGGAGTGAATATCAGGCCTTACATTTGGAGAAAACCAGGCACCGCTCATCACCAGGCTAATACCATCCCTACAGTGAAGCATGGTGGTGGCAGCGTCATGCTGTGGGGATATTTTTCAGCAGCAGCAGGAACTGGAAGACTTGTCAAGAAAGAGGGGAAGATGAATGCAGTAATGTACAGAGACATCCTGAATAAAAACCTGCTTTAGAGTGTTCTTGACCTCAGACTGGGGCGACGGTTCATCTTCCAGCAGGACAATGACCCACAGCACACCGCCAAAATACCAGTGAAGTAGCTTTCAACTCGGTGAATGTCCTTAAGTGGCCCAGCCAGAGCCCAGACCTAAATCCTATTGAACATCTCTGAAAATGGCTGTACACCGTTGCTTTCCATCCAACCTGATAAAGCTTGAGAGGTACTGCAAAGAGGAATGGGCAAAAATTCTCAAAGACAGGTGTGCCAAGCTTGTGGCATCATTTTTAAAAAGACTTGAGGCTGTAATTGCTGCAAAGGGTGCATCAACAAAGTATTGAGCAAAGGCTGTGAATTCTGATGTGCATGTGATTTTTCAGGGGTTTTTTTTAAGAAATTTGCAACAATTTTAAATTGTCTTTATGGGGTATTGTTTGTGGAATGTTGAGGAAATAAATGAATTTTATGCATTTTGGAATAAGACTGTCACATAAAAATGTGGAAAACGTGAAGCACTATGAATACTTGATCCCAGCTATCGAAGACTTCCAAGACAACAAATACACTTAATAAACAAATACACTTTATCAAACGTGTACACAAAGACATCAACTATACATGCAATTAAATTGCAGGTTAACCATGTCTGAATAATTTGATTGAAACTTTAACTAGATCTGATTGTAATGCGATAATGTGCACCTTTTGTAAAGCTGCTTAAGAACAGTACTGATAGTAAAAGCTGCTATACAGATAAACTTGAATTGAACAAGTTGAATGAACATTAACATGCAGAGAGCCCCCCTCCTCAAGACAAGTCCCCAAACTTGTTGTCGTATGCATACACAATTGACTTAACGTTCTAATATTAGGTTCATCGAAACAGTTATTTCTGAGACTTAATTCGAGAAATGTACCAAATTAGGCGACAGGAAAAACTAATAAATACAGTGCCTTAATAAATGTTTTAGTTTTAAAAAGGGAACAGTGCAGGAGACTGCGAGAAGGACTGTTGAATTAAAGTGATTTTCATCAGGAAGATGCAGTCATTTTTATAGAATATTAGAGCTTCTGTGTGACAAAGTTACACGCCCAACAAAAAAAATAGCAAACCAAAACTTCACTCACTTGCCTTTGACGTAGTCCCTGAAATATCACAGGCCACCACAGCAGAATGAACCACCATATAACTTTGGCATATGTTGTTGTTTTTACATGTGGCGGGTGTACTAGTTAGACAAATAAATTATAAATTATTGAAATTGCAAATCCATGGACCCTGAGAGCACATGCCTCTTCAGTTCTCGCACATTTAGCCAGTTATGTAATGAGTTATCTGAACCAGCAGATGGCGATAACTGGCTGTGAAAATATGTCATAGCATGACACGGCAGAAGCAGAGCAAGAGTGGAAAACAAACACGCGAGTCTTGGGGATGTTGATCGCCTTGAACTAACCAAAACACTTTGATTTGTGATGGAATTTAATACTAGACAATTATGTAGCCTGTTTTGTATACGAATTTTGCAACTTGTTCATTATAATTTATAATAATATAGCAAGTTGTACTATAAGGAAAAGCACAGCAAGCTCATTCAGCTGCTTTCTCGCATTTCATCTATTAATAATAATCGTAAATGAGCAATGTCGCAGTCCACGACCCCCCAAAAAGGCAATTTGACAGGAAGTGCCAGGAAATTAAAGGACGACGCCGCAGACTGGCATAATCTCACCCTGAGATGGGAGAGATTAAACGACGAGGGATCCGCGACTGCGACTAACATTGTTAACCTGGGACTGATTAAGAAGTAAGCTCTTTCAGTGACTTTAATGATTAAAGTGAGAATTTATACTGCATTTAATAGCATTTTTACCTTTATTTCTCCATGATCTGTCTGCAGGTCACACGCCGAGTCTGAAGTTGTGATGGAAGGAAGCAGTTTGTCCTCTGGAGATCTTTCAGAAAACCTGACGAAGAGCAACCAGGAGCTCGAGGAGGAATGTGGGAAGTTGAAAGATGTCGTGGATAAAATGGTAACTTCTGGAGAACGAGCATTATCAGTACATTACACGATGAAATACATTCACAAATAACTTTAAAATTGTCCTACCAAAGGCAAACATAGTGTCGAAGATGGAGAAGATGGTCCAGGCTGAGCGCGGGATCTGTGAGCTTGAAGCCTTTCAGTTTGGAGAGAAAGGAAGACCAGAGCCACTCTTTCACTCATGGCCCACTAAACAGTTTGGTAAGACAGACTAGTAGTCATAAAATCAGGTGTCAGTTAAATGTAAATTAGTCTGTGTATGTAAGGTCAATTAAAGATTGACTAATTGAGAAGTGTGGTCTGTTCTGCCCTGCAAATGGGACACTTTAACATATGAAATCATGTATTTTCCCCAAAACTTGTGTGTGAAATGCATTAAAATATGTAATCATAAAATACATTTAAAATATGAATATCCTTCACTGTAAGGTAATATAAGTGTATGTGAATTAAACACTTTTTTTGATATGTCCTGTGTCATTGACCTGTTTCTTCATCCTCTTCATGACAGCTGAAGTGTCTTCCCAGCTTTATGAGTCATACAAGCAGGAGTTGGCGTTGAAAAAGACTATATTACAGGAATTAGCCCACACGGCTAATGCGGATCTGTCAATGGTCTACCTGTCATCTTGGCTTTATCAGCCCTACATTGAGGACAGTGGAAAACTGCTACTAGAGAGCTTGTTATTGGAAACCGGTCACAGACCTTTGTGACTTAGTAAATGTGTGTAAATTAAAGGCATATTGTGGTGTGTGTGTGTGTATCTTGGGTTTAATCTTTATATTCTCCTTTCTCCAAAAATAAAATGCTGTTTTTATACTGTAACCTTTAAGCAATCTTTACCATACAAACTCCATGAACTCACAAAAGACTTAATGTCATATTTGAACACGTCCCTTTGTATTAAAAATGTTGAGATGTTTCAAAAACACAGTAAATCAGGAATTATATAAAAAGTAATAAAATAGTGCATCAACTTTCCAAATAAATCTTGCACTAGACAAACAAAACTACTGGATAACAGAAACAATGGAACATCTGAGGCTGCGCTCGGAGATTACAAACATCCCTGTTTGTTTTACAAATCTAGATTGTTTTTCTCACCATCTGAAGTGGCTTATCAAAAGCTCAACTATATATAAGAAATCTCAAAATATCTTGTTTTTTGAGCCAGATTGACCGCATTCAGCTTTAGGCTGAGGGGTAATATTCAAACAAGTGTCCAAATGTGTTTGAATAAAGTATATCATGGCGGGGGTACTGATTTAAACTGTATTATGACTATAGCCTGGGGCTTTAACATAAAGGAACAGCTATTTACAGATTTCACTGAAGGTCAACTAAGTTGACAGAGTTTCACAAAAATCGCACCACAGCTTAACTGAACCTCGTTGAGTCCGTAACTTAGTTTTGGCAGATTTTTCTTCCTCCCATTTCCACATGTCATGAAACATTCAACTTTGAAAATAAAAAAAGTGCTCGGTTTCTTCCACAGTTTAGTGTGTTGTCAAATAAGTAAATATCACTTTCCATCAACACCCAGTCATGGACTCTGAAACCAATAGTTAAGATATGCCAACATAAGCGAACACAGTCTAAAATCTGAAATCAACAAAGACTTTTGCATAAACAGAAAACACTAATATATAATAATACTGTTTTTATACAAATTTACAAAGAATGCAATAAAAGTTCATTGAAAAAAAAACACCATAACACAGACAGAACGTATACATGGTGTCAATAATGGACAAAAACAGGAAGTGAAGGTGTGGCTAAGTCTTTCTCTCAGTTTCAATGCCCAGTAGAGCGTGAACCGTCTCTAAAGGAACTCCTTCGGGCGCCTCGATGTGCATCATGGTGCCATCGGGACCGTTGACTATGACGATGCCTTTAGCGGCCAGCTCCTCTGCGCTCTGCATGACGAGCCCCTCGGCTGTCTGGATGATGACTGGAGATTCCTGCTGCACCACCTGACCGGCCTCAGGATCTTCTACGGCTTCTGCCTGGCCATCTTCAAGCGCTTGCTGTGTTGGTTCTTGAGTTGAGTTTTTATGCTCAGTGTCTGTGCTCAGAGCCTGCTCCAGCTCTTTCACCTGATCGGCGATATCGACGGTTGTGCTGCTATTCAAAACCTTCGAGATCTCTGGATCTTCAGTGGGTTTTGTAGTATCCGAATCGGCAGAAGGCACTTCTGTCTCCATAGGCTCTTCTTCTGTCCTTGTTGGAGTAGTGTTTTCAGCGCTCTGTGCTTCATCTGCAGCAGTCAGATCTACAGACGTCAGGTTCTCCAGTCTGGTCAACACCACCTGAGGCCTTAGCAGTACTGAGTCGTCAACAGGCTCGTCCTTCTGGATGCCGTTCTGATTGATCTGATAGCCGTTGGTTTCTTCAGAAGGGTTTTCTATTTTAAACCTTTTTGCAGGAGGCAGCATTTTGGCATTCTGTGAAGAACAGGAAGGGAAAACGTGATTAGCATACACTGGGAACTATGAGTGCGTCTCGGGCTGTTTACATGACAAAAACTGGAAACTTTTTATACGTTTTGCCTGTTAATTTACACAACAATAATGATTACATATACATGGACATCAGTAATTAATTATTTTTCTTAATAATTAATTTAAGACAATGATATGATTAAGGTGTTTACATGAGTTGCTTTTTGAATGTTCCTTTCATGATCCTGTTTTACATGTTATGGCACATAGATCCATTCACATTGTTGCGCCACCACGCTATCCAATGTTTCTCCAGAGTTTTCAGGCGTTTCATTTTTAATTTTTCAACTTTAACTGCAGTTTCACTTTCATTCATCAACATTTCATTCATGCCCCGTGACAAACTGAGGTGTTGGATGTGAGTATGACAAAAGGTTTGGTGGAGTGTTGTTTTAATGGAATTTGATACCGCACGCCGAATGGAAAGAAAAAACTTCTGCATTTTACGATGTGTGTGTCTGCGGTCCTTTACGGACTCGGTAGGTGCAGTGAATAGTGTCAAACGGCCGTGTGTATGAAATATCCTGTCGCAAAATGTGACAACAAGTCCTACATAATGTTAATAGTTTGATTAAGGTGTTTAGATGTTCGTACTGCACTTCAATAATGCGCCTAAAATCAGTACACTCCACATCTTAATCCGATTTTTGAGTTCGATTACCACTTTAGTGGAATTAAGGTAATCAAATAAATGAATAAATAAATCGCTGTTTACGCAGACTCCTAATCGGAGTACTGTCAGCATATGAGGCTGCTAGGCTAACCTAGCTTCAATTTTGATTAAGTAATTCTCTAATCGGTTGTCTATTATGTGGTGAATATACCCCTGTAATGCATACTGCAGTCCTTTTTATCTGGCTCTCTCGCATATCTCACCTGTTCACCAAAAATGAATTTGCCTGGGAATGCCTGACACCGGCGCAATAATTGAAATGTGTATGCGGCTTATGTGTATGCAGGCGAGCCAAGGCCAGTCAGGTTTCCAGTCACTTCCTAATCGGGAAAAAGCGGGGCTTTCTCTGGGCCAGCGGCCGGCCTTTTTCGGCCTGCCGAATACCTTGTGCCAAAGAGGGCCAGCTGGGGCTTCGGGGCAGAGTGAAAGGAGAGGTCGGACACAGTTTTCTGATCGCACACAAGTACATGCGCCAAACAAATAAACAAATAAATAAATAAGGGAGAGAAAACATCTAGCCTTATAGGCTGGGGTCTTTTTGCGTACAATCGCCCTTATGTTACCCTTTAAAATGTAAGGCTGTTGCATAAAATAATAAAGTTTTAATTTATAAAAGTGACATTCTTTGCTGCGTCCTCCATGATGTTTCAATAACGCATAATAATCTTTACACAATATTAAAGACACATCAGACCGTAAAGGTTTTTAAGAGCTTTTGTCAAGTTTAAAAGGTGGGTTTGTGCGCGTTAAATGCCTGTGAGTGTGAGACCGAGAAAAAGAGCGCTCCCTTCACAGCCCTCTTAATGCCGTGAGCGCCTTGTTTTCTTTTCTTTATGTATTTTGGAGATAATACACAATATGAATACAACAGAAAGACATAAAACTTAACAAATTTCATCTCCACTTTTGTAGGCTCAAAACATTAGTCATATCTTGATAAAATAGCCTAAGCTATATTGAAATAATTTAAAGAATTACAAATATCGGATATAATAAAACTGCATTAAATAAATAAACCAATATAAAACTAACAAAAGCTAAACCAATTTAGGTATATACAATACATAAATCAAACCATTTTAAAGCCATATTGAACTTTATTTTACAAAGGCCTATCTGAAAAAAAAAAGATTTTAGATATTTTCTAAAAGCAATTAACACCGGAGAAGGTTTTGAAATATTATTTATGAAGTATTTGGATACGATGATATTAATCAAATGATGCAAACAGAGCATTTTTTGGGTGAGTGAAAGCAGAAACTAGGCTACCTTTTTTTCTGTCCAGCGCAGCGCCACTTTACAAACACATCGGGGAAAACTGCAAATACAAAATTTGTTCTGTGTCCTCAAACAAGTGTTTATGTTTTTATATGACATGGTCAAATTTAAAAATGAAATTTAATAACATGAAGAGCTTTATTAGTGGATAGCTGCTAAGCAACACAAATATAGGCTATATTTTATTACTTGCTCTTATGTGCTGAAACACTTAACAATTTCCTTTACCTAATATGCAACATCCTTAAATAAAGGATAATCACCTATTAAGAGGGTATATGCCGAGCTAGTGCTGTTCCCATGCTGATACACTTCCGGTGACCTGTTATTGTGAATTTTTTCCCATTTTATACGGTTCCTTATACAGCATCGATGTTTTAATGTCATTAAAATACATTCAGTTAAATGAACTGTAGCATTTATTTAGTTGCTGAAGCGTAAAACGAGACAAAAAGCCGTTTACTCGCACGCGCCCGTCAGAATCGGCAGGCTAACGCAGAAGCTCCATTGAATATACTGAGGTAAAGTAAATGCTCATATTATAAATATATGTCGGGGGAAATGTAATTTAATGCAGTGCTTATTCTACAATCTGAGACCCACTTTAAATCAGATATCACTCAGCTAGTGGAGATCGCTGATTTTAAAAGAAAAGAGACCTTAAACGCACTGGATTTTGCATTGGCATTCAATTCGCCGGAAGCGCTTAACCCAGGTTGCTGGCAAATTAAAAGTCCTATAAGCATGCTTCGGCATATACCCCAGTACCTTATAGCCTATAAGGAAAAACTAATGTTTCAGGTCTCTCCGTAGCATTTGGGCTGAATGTTTAACAGCGTCTATCTAAATGAGGATGTTATAAAATACAATTTCTTCCGAATTATTAACGGAAAATTTCTGTGGTTTATATTATGGATGGGTGCACTCACTGCGCTGGGTCCCTGCCGCTATGTAGCTTACTATGGCGAGGGAGGTGAGCTGGGGGTATTTACAACACTCCAACTACTTAAAACACAGAAACTGCGCACAATTTTACTGCGTGTGTGTTTGCTGGACAGTCTTTCACTGACATTTACAGCAGAAGCCCTTATTTCACTGCGATTGAGAAAAGTACTTTTTTTCTCTCTCACTGTGGCCCATTTGACCTGCTGGCGTGACTTTTCATCTCCTCTTGGCTGTTACAGTGATTCTTCTGGATACAGACACAAGTGCGCGTCAGCAGAGTTCTCTCCACTGTCTCAATCATAGATCAGCTGTGATCACTGCTGCAGTTTATCTGTGTTTATCATCGGTGAACAGCGCCAGAGCATTAGAGCCAATCATAGCCCTTTCTGTTGAGCACATGACCAATCATAGGGATGTATGAAAGAACTCACTAAACAGAACTCAAAAAGCGAGCGGGATATTTATGTTTATTTGCTAAAAATTTTTATGTTGTTCTGTGCATGTTTTTAAAGGTACAGTTTATATATCTGACTGCTTGGATTAAAGGACACAGATGTATTACAAATAGCATATAAATATATTGATACAATTTAATACAAGAATTGCTGTGCTGTGAAAAATATATAGCACCTGTGTCTGGAAAGCAATTGTCATGATAATCGTAACCAAACCGAACCGTGAGACCAGTGTAGGTTCACGCCTCTAATAATTCATGCTAAATATGTTGCTCTAAATGACCAACAACTGAAGAAATGAAAGTAAAATGACACTTAACTCCAGCAATATGTCCTGTATGCCATCCTGCTTAAAGGATTTCTGATTTTCGCAAAACATACCTCAATACTCCGTAGACTCTTGGTGGCCTGATTTGCTCGTGGCTCTAATTGATTTGTCTTTTGACTTTGTTGTCCTTCAGAAGAAGTCAGGAGTTTCAGTGCGTTGGGATCTGTTATACCCAGAGACTGTAAAACCTGGAACGAAAGGAAATTTGTTTGGTACTAAAGTTTGATCATAAAGCTGCAATAACTAAATGTCTAGCAATGACTTACTCCTATGTTGTTGACCTCTATAGCTGGCCGAGAGGCGGGTGAAGTGTGCAAATATTCCAGCGCCATATTCTTCACCTGACTGTGAAGTTCCTCAAACTCATGGTACACATTTGGGAACTGTTGCTTTGACGGGTAGCCCTTCTCCACCTACAGAAACAAGAACAACGTAAATTTGCATGAAAAGTAATAAGATGGTATTTAAATGGCTGCTCCAAGAGTTAAAAGTGAATATCACTGGACAAAGAAAAAAATTAATCTTAGGTGTGATCAATACCTTCATCATCACAAACTCCCAGACAGTCATGACCCGGGCCAGACGCGGAAGAACAATCTCCATGAGATCTTCATCATCATACTGCTTAATAAACTGAAGGAGGAGGACAAATATTTAGTGTTTGCAGTTAGTATTTATTGAATGGCACTTGTGAGATTGTTTAACTTAATTTGCTCAAACAGTAAGAAATGTTCTTTAGGCAAAGTTTAACTTTTTAATGGCAGACTGGACAAAAGTATTGTATTATAATACATTCATTGTAAACACATTATAACACATTATAATTATACACATTATTGCTCAAAAAAGAGTTCCCATAGAAAATCTAACCCTAATATAAAACTGGAAATTATTTAGGGATGGATAATACCAATTATTTTCTTTTCAAACCGATACCAAGTATTTCAAGACAACAATCATTGATATCGATACTTCAATGAAATATTTTATAGTTATTTTATGTTTTTTAAATCACCTTCAGTATAATTTTGAAATAATACACAATTGCTTTTTGCATTTATTAAAATTACAGAGAATTATTTATTATTATTAGCCCACATAAATTATTAACCCCGTTTATTTTTTTCCCAATTTCTGTTTAACGGAGAGCAGATTTTTTAAACGCATTTCTAAACATAATAGTTTCATTAACTCATTTCTAATAACTGATTTATTTCATCTTTCCCATTATGACAGTAAACATTTAACTATGTATTTTTAAAGACACATAAAGTGACATTTAAAGGCTTAACTAAAGGCTACAGTTTGTTCTGTAGACTATCGAAAAAATATATAACTTAAAGGGGCTAATAATTTTGACCTTAAAATGGTTTATAAAAAAAATTAAAACTACTTTTATTTTAGACAAAATAAAACAAAGACCTTAAATTAAGCCCATTTTCTAAGGCATTTAGCAATTAATCATATTCAATTCCAAGTTAAATAAATGTTTAAGTGTTTGTAAATGTTTTGTGTCATATAGGGCTACATTAAAGAGCTAAGTTATATTCTTTTTAAATGAAATGATAAAACTATGAAATTATGAACAAATTATTTTTATTTTCTCAATGGAATTTCAACCCGATCTGACTCTTAACTTAAGGACGAATACACCTAGAGTACCATGAGGGTAATTAAATCACAGGCTAATTAAAAATTTTTGGATGAACAAAACCTTTGAGTAGAGTCTTGTTCTTTTGACTTGTCCAATCTTCACTTAGTTGCTTTGAATCAGGATTTGTAAAGTCGTGATTCTGCTCACAGCAGGTTGCTTTGGTTCTTGGCATATAGTGTTTTAAGACTTTAAAATAGGTCCATATATGGAATAATCAACAGTAAAATTATTTCCAGACCCAGCACTTGAACACTGGGCAAGTATTCATCATCCAAACATTCTGAGCACTGTTTTACAACAGCCAGCAAATTGCCATAAAAATGCAAGTATAGTTACATTATGCGAAACACAAACATGACAACTCACAGAGATTATGGCATCATAATTAAAAAGCTT